TCTTCTGTTTCTAACTCCTTTTTTGGCACTCTGCATAATGTTACATGCCACAAAGCATGTGGGTATGTATATATGAATCAATGAATTGTGAGGAATATATTGTACTGAAATCCAAAGCCTTGCTAAAATGGGTAGGAAAACAGCTGTCTGGCTTAGATGAAAAGAAAAAAAAAATTGTTGCCTCCGTCCAAAAGTCATCATTTTGGATTGGTTTCTTTTCCATTTTTAAGAGATTGATTCTTGAAACCAGAGTTACTCCATCTCCATGCTTAGATGCTGTATTTTTAATAATGTTCATGACCCAACTAAATGTTTTACATTATACAGGTGTGCCAGAATATCTGCTTTCTCTCTTCCCATGAAAGAACTGTACAAATGCCATATTCCTGTTGAAAACTTAATCAGCAAAGCTTAAACATCTTTATTTTTATAAACTGTTTCCCCACGTAATTACAGAAGTGTTACATTTGAATGCATTTTAAGGTAGTTATATTACAGAAATTCTAAATACCTGATCTGATATGCAAATTTGACCTGCTTGTGTATCTCAGTTGTAAATCAGTGACACCACCTTGAAGAATATTTTTTTTAAAGTAAGGATCCTAAGAATTTAGCAGTTTTATAAGTGTAAGCATAGACTTCTTAAATTGTCTGATTTTTCATAGGTAGGTGCTCTTGTTAATTGCTGTGAAGTATATTATCACCAGCCTTTGGTACCAGCTTTCTTCAGACATGAAAGTCTTTTCTGAAAGTAATATAGTTCATTATATTAGATTTATTTGTTATTCCACAGAATAGCTGTAACAGCAATATTTCTGCTGTAGCAGCAGCATTGACTATTAAAAAAGAGTGCCAGGCAAAGGAGATAGTAGAGTTTGCTCTGGGCATGAGTGAATTTTCCATAATCCAATATGAAATATTTAAATTTTAACTAAATGAACTCATTTCCTGAACATCTGGATTTGAGGAATCTCTAAACTCTGGTATCACAGTTCTCCCAAGTGACAACATTAATTAATTTTTCATTTATTAAATGAAAGCTTCATCTCTATCTCTGTTTTTTGTTCATTCATTCCATTTATATGGCCACCCGTCTCAAACAAGTGACTCTGGATGGAGATAGACAGACAGACAGACAGATAGACCGTATATATGGTGGAACAACATCAATACAAAATAAATAGACAGAGTTTTTTTTTTAATCATTACAGATACAATGCAAGTATTTCAACAAAATTAATTCACAGGCTCCAACAGACACTCCAGCCTCCAGGCCTGGGAACAAAGCCATGTCTTCAGGACCTTGTGAAAAGCTAACAAGGTTGGGGCCAACCTGATCTCCAGGGGGAATGATGTTCCATAGTGCAGGAGCAGCAAAGAGAAAAGGCTATCTTCCTGGGTCCCACCAGGTAGCACTCTTTAATGGTTGGGACCCATAACATGCCTTTCCTGCCAGATGTGGATGGAATAAGTAGACATGATCAGAGAGGGTCAATTGATCCCATGCCATGGAGAGCTTTATAGTACAGGTAACCAGCAGCACCTTGAAATGAACCCAAAAGTATATTGGCAAGCAATGCAGCTTGTGGAACAGATGTATAACATGAGCAGTCTAGAACTGGCGCACTTCTGCAGTGAATTTTACATTACAGAAAGAAGTATGTTATTTCTCATCAGCCCTGAATGTACTGCCAATCATTTTTATTAGCAACAATTTACTAACAAATTTATTAAACTGATGACAGAACTGGCCCATCCCCTTGCCATATTAAGAGTCACTCACAGAACATCTAAAAATAGTACTGTTTCAAGGGGTTCACCCTTGCTTTTTCTTCTTAATCTGTTCCTGAGGTTTTTCATGTTATTTTACAAATGAAGCTCCCACATTCTTTAATTCCCACCCAGGCTGCCTATTAATGACAACACTGTTGGTGCTTTTTAAACTTCTAATCACTATTTTTATCATTCTCTGACAGTATATGAGCTAAGGATAAGGAGATGGCCACATTTCTGTGGTGAGGGATTGTAACAACAATCGTCTCATACCAGCTCTGCTTGTGATTTGTACAATCAGCCCTGGCAAGGATGGTGGTTCCATTCTTGTTCATTTGAGACTCAGGGAAATGGCTTCTGCTTTATTGTAGTTTTCTTGCTGATACAAAACTCCTTCTCCATCTAAACTAAATACTTCCTCAATGATTTTAACTTACTACAGGTAGTATATGGCAACCTTCTTGACCTGGTGCACTCAGGAACTCCCTGAATCCCTGACCATCATAAATCTGCGCGGTGGATCACAGTTCTAAGAGTCTCTGTCCCAACAGGAAGGTTACTGGGATGCTGTAGGCTGCACCATCTGTAGCCCTGTTGAACATTTTTGCCCGCTGTTAGTTATTGCCATGTTGTAACGTCTGCCCTGTTCTTTCTTTCTGCATTCAGCAATGCTTCTGGGTCACTTCTGCCTCTCTCCTTTTCAAGGAGAGGCAATTCAGCCAAGGAGGGCACTTAATTTTCCATTCCTCCCAACACAAAGCAAAACAATTTGTAATCAAACCAAAACATCTGCAACCTAGGCTCCAAAGCAATATCTATATCATCTATATCTATATATCTACTGTATATATCTATATATCTCTATCTCTGTCTGTTTATCTACACACACACACACACACATCAAATGCTATTCTTACTGGCCATCTTTTATTAACCGACCATGGAGAAGTTGAAATTTCCCTAGGATCTAAACTTTTTTTTTCAGGGTTGGAGGATGGTTAGCCTAAAAACCCACCATCTTATCCAGATAGAATAGTAAACCAGAGGCTGGCAATAGGTTGTTGTGGACATTTTTGAGAGAAAGTGTTTGAAGGCTTTCCTATTTGATATTTCAGAGGCCTTGCCTTGAGGCTTTTGAGTTAGAAGTTTTGCCAGTAAGGAATGGTTCACGGCATTAATGGAAAATGTTTCAGACTGGAAAGTTTCTCAGGAAGCATGCAAAAGGTACTTGGCATCCTTTGGTTTTTTGGAGGAGAGAATATTCACTTTAATGTAATAGTGAAGCAACTTTGCAATGAAAGACTACCCTCAGCTCTCTATGGAGGAGGAGGAGGAGGAGGAGGAGGAGGAGGAGGGAAGGAAAGAAGGAAAGGAGAAGGAAAGAAGAAAAAACAACAGAAAAAGCAACAGAAAAGAAAAGGTATGGCTCTACATATTAAATATTTCAATATACTACAGACCAGTATAACAACAATGCCATGTTCAACCATCAAGAGGACTCCTGTCATATATTTTTCCATCTGGCTGAGATTGTCTCAAGTGGTCCCTGAACTGTTACCTTGAAAACTTTATTCTCACCCCTGTTTCTGACTTTATTTTATTCTCACTTTCTAGTCCTTCACTGCTACATGGCCAAAAATATACCTGAGATGCTCCTTGTCCTACTTTGGTACATACCAAAAGAGCAAGTACAGCACAGGGAACTAAATTACAGTTTTTAACAGAAAAAAAAAATCCATTCACAGCTCAGTCTTTAAAGGCAATTTAGACAAGAAATAATCTCATTCTGTGAGACTTGTCAGATGTGTCATTTTCTGAGTCAGATCTTCATCTGCACTCCTGAACAAAA